GAAGTCTCTTATGTTCATCAAAGCTCATTTATTTCACCAAAAATACTGTAAAAACATACATTTTGATAAATATGTTAAAATACTAATCAGTTATTTTAAATTATAATAATATTTTGAAATGTAATTTATTGTTGTGACGGTAAAGCAGGATTTTCATCAGCCATTACTCCAGTCTTCAGTGTCACATGATTCTTCAGAAATCATTCTGATATGCTGATTTGGTCCTCACATAACATTTCTTACTATCAGTGTTGGAAACAATTGAGCTGCTTAATATTTTAATGGAAACCATGATAGGATGAATAGAAAATTCAAATGATCAGCATTTATTAGAAATAGAATTTTTGTAACTTTACTGTCACTTTAGATCAATTAAATATATCCTTGCTGAGTAAAAGTATTAATTATACCGACCCCAAAATTTTGAATGTTTTATTTTTTTTATGAATTTACTATAGGATTTAAGCATGACATAAATGTATAGCATGCTATACATTATGGTATTGCATTGTTTTAATTTTTTTAATATTCATATTGCCCTCAAAAATTTCAGTGGGCAAATATATTGCCCATTAAGAAAATGTAAACTAATACCCTTTTTTATTGTGTAATTCTAGTTGTAACTTAACTTACAACAAGAATTGTAAGTGACACCGCAGAAACAAATTCTACCAGCCTTGTCGTGTTACAATAAACAAAAAACTCTGTCATAAAACACCTACGCTATTTGGGTGTTCACCAGAGGGTTGTAAGAATAAGAATGGAATTTTTTTGTTCTTTTGTTCACCTTGGTGTATTTATAGATCAGACATTAGTCATTCATTGGTATTCTGTAAGTTGCTCAATGACTTTTCTCAGAAAACATGTATTACCTCTTTCCTTTGTGGTCTTTCTGTGAACAAATGTCAAGGATTTAAACCTCATGGTCAAAATATTATTTTAAAGAAACACTTGCATTCTTCATTTATACATGGAAAAACTGTCACTGATTAACTACGAGTGCTCATTCATATCTCATACTAGCACACATTGGAGATCCAAATATCTGACTGCAGAGACGAACAATAGTCTCTCTCATTCACAATTAAACACACTCAGCTTGTGGTGTTCAAGGTCATTGTTCCAAGGCCCCATTCTTATCTATGAGGCCATTATGGTTGTTAGATACACATCAGTTGGATGTAGGTCAGTTTGCTTTAAAATTTGGCCCTGCTCCTAATTCTTCCCTTGGCCCCCTGCCTGCGTTTCTTGTTTTCTGTGCTGTATTTACCCTGTGAGGACAGATCAAGAGTATGTGCACGTGCTCAGATGTTGTTCAAATTTCTGCATGTGATGCTAACCTTTGAGTTCCCATTCCTGGAGGTGGGTGGACTGGAATTTCAAGAGAGACTTGTTTTGCTGGGGCTCATGCTCATTTGCCAACTTTAAATTGATTGATTGACCCATTCATTAAAGGTGAAGTGTGTAGTGTCTGTGTCAGAAGGGAACCACACAGATTTGGAAAAAAATAAGGAGTGTTTAATGTCAGGTTTCTCAATCACTCCCCCTTCTGGCATTGTTTGGACTAATGGCTTTTTTATTATTTTATTTGACATAATTTATTGTAATATGTGTGTTTGTTCAGGGTGGCAGCTCTTGGACTTTTCGCCGGTGTGGTGTTAGTTCTCTTACTCTTCTGTCTGTATCGTGTGCTCTGCCCTCGGAACTATGGGCAGAATGGGGTGCCCCATGGTCGCCGTCGCCGTGGAGACCTGCCCTGCGATGAGTACGGCTACTCGCCGCCAATCAGTGAAATTTCCCCTCTGCTGCTGAGAGGCCACAGCATGGTGAGAATCGAATTGACATGCACTTGACATGTTTCCATAAATGCACTCTGAGATTTATAAAATTACCTTTGGCATCTCTTCCCAGGACATTGAGTGTCTGGCCAGTGATGGCATGCTGCTGGCCAGCTGTTGTCTGGCGGGACAGATCCGTGTGTGGGACGCACAGACAGGAGACTGTCTTACTGTCATACCCAACAATGGGTAAGGAAATGTATAAACTCAATTAAACAGACCTGCACCCACTGTATGGCCCCTAATAAATGTAATATTCAAAAAATATGTATATGTTGTCGTATTTTTTAAATACAGTATATATTCTAGTATTTTTTTAAATATGTATTCATTATTTGTATTTTTACGTATGTGTATCCACTGTTAGTCTGCGCAGGAGCAGCAGCAGTGGTTGTTGGGAGCACCGTGATGGCTGGGATCACATAGGTGCTTGTGAGACCGAGAGCCTCTTGGGGGCAGACTTTCGGGAACCAGGAGGAGCTGTGGGAGGACCAGATGTAGATATTTTCCCAATAAGGAGGAGGACCACCCCTGCACGCCCTGCCCTGTTTGGGGACCAGCCGGACCTCACCCCTCTCATTGATACCAACTTTGGGTCTTTGCCCCCATCTCAGACTTTAAGCAGCTCTGGCTTTGATTTCGGGGGATTGGTGGAGAAAGCGTACCAGGAGCATGAGCCCTCACCAACACTTGCCTTCCCACCTTCTCCTCCAGCTTCACAACAAAGGCGGCGTAGCCTTGGGGACCAGCCTGTTTTAACCCCAGAGCTCCCGCCACAGAATAATGGCGACTGGGACAGTTCAGTGTGGGCCATGGAGCTGAGGGGTAACCTCATTGCCACGGGCCGCAGCAGTGGCAAACTGGAGGTGAGAGAAAGAGAGGGCTTTTATAAGGATAACATATTGATTTATCAATGTGATTAATATGATGTCCTTATTTTCTTGCTTCTCACTGCTCTATCAGCTGTGGGATGCAGTAGAGGGATCATTACGGTGCAGTAATGAAGATGGAGTATCTGGAATCACTGCCTTGGCTTTTCTCAATAACAGGTGCATTTCATAACTACGTGAAGCTCATATATAAGCCACACTCATTTCACGCCCAACCACCGGACTTATGTTTTCCTGCTAATGGGGATATTTTCAATTGCAGAATTGTGGCAGCTCGTTTAAATGGCTCACTGGATTTCTTCACAGTGGAGATCACCAAGCCTCTTGGGTTGCTGCAGTATCGCGGTGAGTCGTGTCAAAATAATAAAAAAACTTTGAAAAAATGACAAAACCAGCCCTGGAAATGTCATTCAAATAAATTAAATCATGAAAGTTATCATTTTTATTTTGAATATAATTATTTTTTTTTTTCAGCTAGAATTTTTGTCTATATTTTCTGAGTGTGATTTCTATAAAATGTAAAGTAATCAAAACCAACAGGAAAAGTCATGGAAATTCATTGGATCAGAAAGCATGGAAACCCTAAAAACAGGAAGATAAACACTGACAGTTACTCACAGGAGAAAGTGGAGGACCAAAATAAAGAGGCATTTTAAGCATTTTTCCTGATTTTGTGTGTTAGGACCTCCAGGCCGAGGCAGTCTGCCCCCTTCCCCCTGTTACAGCAGCGAGGATGTGATCAGCTGTCAGCTGACACGCTCAGTGCAGTGTGCCCACCAGAAGCCCATCACTGTGCTCAAAGCTGCCGCTGGCAGAGTGGGCACCGGCAGCCAGGACCATACAGTCAGGGGAAGGACCATATGACACTCACACACACACACACACACACACACACACACACACACACACACACAAGCATGTAGAAATCTTCAGAATTCATTAGAATGTTTTTAAAAGTGGTAAAATATCTTAAATAGGGCAGATAATGCAACAGTTTGGTTATTGAAGGCATTATTAGATATATAAAAAAATGTAATGCAAATATAAGGTTGTTGTGTGGAACTGTGTGAGTTCAGATTCTGGAAATCTGCAGAGCTTCCTGTGGGCACAGGTTTTGTGCAAGCCTACAGTTAACTCATGCTTTAGTTGGGTGTTTTTTAACTATTTTTCTTTTATAGGTGTATCGTTTGGAAGATTCTTGCTGCCTCTTCACCCTGCAGGGCCACTCAGGTGGTATAACTGCCATATACATAGACCAGGTCAGAATCACGTCACTAGATTTCACACATACACCTGCAATTTTGCCATTCATATTTCTGATTTACAATATTTGTGATTTAACTGAACACGTGGTAGACAGACAGACAGACAGATAGATAGATGGATGAATGGTTGGATGGACGCATGGATGGATGGATGGATGGATAGGTAGACAAAGATAGATAGATAGATGGTTAGTTGGATAGATGGGTGGATAGATAGATGGGTGGAGATTGTCTCTGTACAAATAATTACATTTATTTTGGCAAATAATTTTTGTGCTATGTTGTAGACCATGGTTCTAGCCAGTGGGGGCCAAGATGGCGCCATCTGCGTGTGGGACGTCCTAACAGGCAGCCGAGTGAGCCACGTGTATGGTCACCGTGGTGATGTCACCTCATTGGTTTGCACAACTTCCTGTATCATTAGCAGTGGGTTGGATGACCTCATTTGCATTTGGGACCGTAGCACAGGCATAAAGCTGTACTCCATACAACAGGTGTGCGATTATGAGAATTAGGACTGCAGGATTTCATCAACAAATCAGCATGTTGTGATTTGTTATTAATGAAATAATATCTCTTATGTCTTTCTCTCTGTTTCAGGAGGTGGGCTGTGGGGCCAGTCTAGGGGTGATTTCTGAAAGCCTGCTGGTGACGGGAGGACAAGGTTGCGTGTCATTTTGGGACCTGAACTACGGGGACCTTCTGCAGACGGTGTACCTGGGCCAGAGCAGTGAAGGTCAGAGCGTCAGGCAGCTCCTGGTTCTGGACAATGCCGCCATAGTCTGTGACTTTGGTAACGAGCTCAGCCTAGTCTACGTGCCCTCTGTTCTGGAGAAGTTGGATTGAACACACACAAACACCAGCCCACAGATTTAGGGAATTTTCAGAGCGGCCGGCACAAAAGCACTCGCCCTTTAACCTGTATCACTGCAAGTTCATTGCAGACATGAATGACGTTCCTCGTGTCCTCTTGTGTACCACCCTACACTTAGTAGGGAGGGAGTGGCCACTTTCTACCACATCCGAACAGGATGTAAATGCAAAACCTGATTGTTTGGTGTTAAGCAGGCCTCTGACGCTCCATTGGAGCATTGGTAGAACACCATACAGAATATTCTGTGTATGAATCCGGACAGAATTACATGAGGCTAGTACAATAGCTGCTGACAGTGAGAGGTGGCTCACTGGGCCTGCCTTAAGATGTCTGTTTGTGTGTATGTGAGTGGTAATAAACTCACGGTGAGAATGCCAGGCCGCCCAGTCCAGAAACTCTCAGCTTTGTGACAGCTAGAGGTGAGAGAGTTCACAATAATATGTTTGCAGAAGGAGAGGAGGAACAAGAGGTGGTTGATGGGGCTGAAAAAGGCATAGATATTTCCTGCTGAGTGTGTTTTTTTGTGTGCAACTTATTTTTGAGTGTTTGAATCTTCAGAAGTGTTCAGGTTATGTTGCACCCCATAATCAAAAGAATCCTTTGAGGTTTGATTAAAGACTCTACAGCAAAGTTCGAACATCTTAGCAACTGCATAGAAATTCTTTTGCAATATTGTATAAAGACAGTAAACCTATTTTAGGTCCATTCACATGTATGTATGTGTATATATATATACATTTATATATGTATATGTGTGTGTATATATTTTATGACAATTAAACAGCCCTGTCCTTTATACGTACATATAGAGAGTATTTTTTACATTACAAATTATATATATATATGAATTTGAATTTTTAATTTGTTTATTTAGAAAATAGAAAACAAATAAATCATGGATGATTTTTATTACTTACAAGCAGTCACAGCAATGCCTTTTTTTTTAAGTTTATATTTGTTTTGTTTTTTCTTTTCATTTATATTTTCAGTCTAGAGAATTTGGGAAGGGGGTGCCTAATTGTCACAAAAATAATGTCGCAATGCAAATGTTTATGATCTTTAAAGTGACCTCAGTTTATGTAATTTCTTATTTTCTTTTGATTTTGGGGTGAATTATGAACTGGATTCTGTGTTTCTGTGAGTGGTTGTGTTTGTAAGATGCATACTGTATACGTCTGAATCTCTGGGGTAAAGGGGGGATCTCTTTTTAATATTGAAATCAATTATTTATTAGTGAAATTTCTAACAATTTGTATGAAACTTGGCATAAGATAAGTTAAAGTGGAGATGTGGTCATAAATTTTAATATGCAAGAAAACCTTTGACTAACTTACACCGTAAATAATATGATCATATTAAGTCAGTTACTGACAGACGCCAGGCAGCAAGATGGGGTATCTAGAGAAAAGAGAAAAGGAGCCATTCTCATTCCAGTCCTGCCTTAAACACATGAAAAATCAGTTCCTTGGCACAATTATTAATTATACACTATTTTCTTATTTTCCTGTATTAAAATGTGTTTTTGTTGTAGAGTCATGAGCAGTTTACAGGTTTCACTGAGATTGTTGACCATTAGTTGTTACTGGATATTTGGGCCCTGTTTGTAAATGTGTGTATGATTAAAACATTAGTATATCCAATCCAGTCCTGCAGAAGCCACACTAATGTGTGCATTGGTTTGGCCTATTTTTCATATAGCCATATCAGTCAACCAATTGTGCGGTTATCTTTCAGGACAAATGCACACATTTGTGAGAACTGAAATTGAAATATTAAAATGCACTTAGAGACTTCTTTAGTTTTATTAGACAATAGCAGAGACTTAAATATGCTTCATTTACAACATTTTCTACACACAGGTTTGTCCGAATGTGCATTCCAATGACAATTTCTTTTTAAATTTTGATTTATGGTTGGGTAAGAAAATATACCAAAAGTATCCCCATTTTCAATGCAAATGAGTCTTTTTGCTGCACTTTAAATCTTATCAATTTGAAAATCGATGCTTTAAATTTAAGGAGTTTGCTTTCATTAAAAGGGCCCGAGCACTGCAGTGCAAGGGCCCTATTTGAATTGCTCCGTTTCTTATCACAGATTTTTGTTTTATTAATTCCCCCTATTCGTTTGATTTTTGCAAAAACATAACTATAGTCCTCAAAACCATTGAAACCAGTGTTTTGGTTGCGGAAAATTATTTTCCATCTTATCAAGTCAATAGAAATGCACATGAATCAGTGAGTTATTAGCCATGTTTTATGAATGTAAATATTAGTTAATAATGTTGGTGAGAGAACTGATGTTCAGTTAGTTAATTTTATAAACTACATGCTTGAAACCATGTAGTAGCATTGGTCAAAA